TCACCAGGGGCTACCATTCCTGCAGTTTTCAGCCCCCCGTGGTGTAACACATAGACGTGGCAGGAGTTTTGCTTTCAAGAATTTGGGGTGCAGTTCCCCCCAAACCCCTGCACTGATCTTCTTGAAGCTTGGCTAGCTTCATGCTCTAAGCAGAGGTTACCACCTTTGCAAGTTGCTCCGGAATTGGAGCTAAAACAACAAAGTTATAGATATTTCATTGATCCCCCATTATAGTCTATAGCCAGATGTCCAAAGTGGTTCCGAAGCTTCGTAGTCACTTCAGGCGGATCGAAGCGGCAAACCTATCTGGAGCTCCGGATCGGATTGTGGCCATCCAAAGTAGTTGGATCCAAAGCTGGATCAGATCACTGCTGACTTGCACAGGCCTACTGCTAACCCCTGTTCTAGGTCCTTTTCAGCCCAAATGGTTGTTGCACCCATTCTTGCCCAGCTCCCAGTTTTTGTACTTGTGCCCAACTACCAGGCTGTAGAAGAGTGAAGGTAAAAGCGCACTCTACTCCATCTATTGAAGCTCAACTGCTGTGCACAATGAATTGCAAAATCTATGGAGCTGAAGGGAAGGCAGATAAGAGGGAACCTGAACACATAGATTATTGATGTGGGTTGTCTCAGGGAGTGGATGTCTTTGGTTCTGGTCCCTGTGACTGGGTCTTTAGCCAATACCTATCTAATGTAAAATGAAGCTTTAAGCCAGCAGTACTCTACCTCTGGCTGTCAGGCTAGATTCAGCAGGTGGAGCCATGTCATCTGGTCTGTGGGGCACCCCACAGGTCCAGACATTTTACATTGAGGGAGTGGTGGCATAGCTAGTTGTCCCCAGAGCTGCAGCAATTAATGTTGCTACCCCACCCCTGATGCCAAATTTCTAGACCCATAGGGAGTCTTGTGGTCTGTATGACATGGCCCTACTCATTGCACTGCACCAGCATGTGGGCACTCCGTGGCTAGATCTGGCTTGCAGGGTGAGGCTGATACAGTGCAGCTGGATCTGGCATGTGAGGAGGTCACACCTGTGCACTAACCCCACACTGAATCAAGTTGCACACTGACCTAATGCAGGAGCTCTGGCCCATGGGCCCACCACATGTGGGGCTGGAGAGGTTGAGCACCACTATTTGAAACTGTGTGAAATTTAGGGAGTGGAAACCAGAAACAAGAATTCCCTCCTCCCAAGGGAATGCCTGCCTCACTAGGCTACAGTCATGATCCCTCTTTCTTCTTTCTCTCTCTGGCCCCATGACTCCTCTGTGTATGCCTTTCAACCAGAGCCCTCCAGGCATCAGTATAAAATGCTTCAATGTCTTGGCTTTGTGAAAATTGGGGGTGTGTGGGGGGCAGAGGTTGGGGAAGGGGAAAAGGAGAAAGGGGTGATCTGTCTCTCTCTCTCGAGCAAAGCAATGGCAAAGAGACTGTCTGCAATGCTGCCACAGAGGCTACATACTATTACTGAGTGGTATTAATGTAGGAAGGTACCAGAATAATACAACTACAGCAGAATGGATGGAAGATGCTGAAACTACAGACAGGTATTCTGTTTATCAGGTCCCACTTCAGTGCAAGTGAAAGCATAATAAACCCTAAGCAGAGTGAATTAGCCCAAATTTTGATCATTAACAAAAGAAAACTTTAAAAAAGGAATCCATAACATAATGGTAGTCAATATTCGCAGATTTTTTAAAACCTCCTTACCATCTCTGCTACATAGCATTTAGGATTTGAGAAGATTGTAGCTTTCTCTCTTCTACTGCACATCAGCAACAGAAGTGAACCTCTAGCTTCCAGCTGAACCTGCAATTTTGTTGATGGCATGAGGCAGACTAGAATGAGATTCACTTTCCTGTGATGGTTCTGTGGGCCAAACAGCAGAAATTGCTTCCTCTCCCTCTGTTCATTTTTTCCATTATAGCCAAGGGATGTGACTCAGATGCACTAAGTTACAACTGTGTTGAGCAAGATGCTATTTCTTCCCTTATTACTAAATTTAGGGTAAAAGCAGAAAAAAACCTAAACACACCTTTGTCAGGGGAGAAAGCTAAGATACTACAATTACTGAATACCTTTAACAGATTTTATTAATAAAAAAAAAAACAGTTGGAATACAGTATAACAGGAAAGAATAGCTGTATCCACTGGAAAATGAAGTCTTACAATATATAATAAAACATCTTCCCTCCCCTCACTTAAACAATTTTTTAAATACTATTATCACAATTCTTGTTAAATCTAATGAAATTAATGGTCCTTTCAGGTTCCCATTATATAAGAATGAACATTAAATACTGGCTTAAATATGACATCAGGAAAACAGTAGTACAGAAAATGTTACAAGCATTTGGAACCTCATGAAATGCTGTATGAACACAGTCACAGATAGTAACAAATTAAACAATTGTCCTACATAGAAATCATTACAGCAGATGATCATGGCCACTCCTGTACCATACAAATAAAGTACTTCTCCCTGCGTAGTCATGCATTACCTAGATGGTCTGGAGCAGAGCTGAGCAAATGCAGCTGATGGTGATTTTGTAAATTGTTTCCTGAGGAAGCTGAGCCACTGTAAGTTGCTCCACTGAAGCTATGCTGACTTACATAAGCAGAGGAGCTGGGCTTTGTGGTCTAGTCATTCTTGCTGAGAATAAGAACAAATAAATCAGCTCCAGAATGCAGTGAAATCCATGTACGGAAACAAAAGAAAATAGTGGGAAGGGTAGTAGCAGCATCTAGGCAAATAGTAAGGGCTGTATGGAAATATTCAAACCTTGCTGCAGAGAAGCAAAGAGAATTTCACCAGTTTTGTTTTGTGCTACAAGTCCCAACAGTAATTTGCACTTCGAGCCTCTTTTCTCTCTTTCACTTTCCAAAACTCCTATAATGCTGTTAATTGGAGCTACATAGACGAATTAGTAGTAATAATAACAATAATAATCATCATTGATTATTACTATTAATAGAGATGATAATAATAATGATAATAAGTCACATTTTCCCCACTCTCTAAAATATTTTATTTATTCATTCATTTCCTATGTAAAAAACACTAATTGTATCACCCAGTACTTTGGAGGCCTCTTACACATCACCCCATTTTCCTTACACATAAGAATACAAAAAAGAAATAGATTTACACTTGTTCTTGTAAACAATGGTTTTGCAAGTAGTTAGGAAGAAATTGCTCTCACTTGCAAATAGATAGGGATTGAGTCTCTACTCAGTCACACCAGTTTTAGGTTAGTATTACTTTAGCATACTAAACATGAGGCATCAGGTCCATAGTACAAATAATACTCTCCAGAATACACTGTGTCTCGGTGCAATTTCTGACCAATAAATATATATATTATCTGTCCCTTTGGAAAGGCAACTTGCTTCCAAGTATAAAGTGTATAACATTGTTTCCTCTTTTCTTTTTTAAGGACAGAAAACAAAGATAGTAGACATAGAAAATGGCTGGAGATTTCATAGAATAGATGGGACACCATGAGTCACATTTGTATAAAACTGGTGTAGACAAATGAAAATCAGGGCTAATGTGTATATAGAGTTGAAAGGAGTGGCCAATATGATTTTTTAAAGAATCACATACTGTAATTGAAAAGGTGGTACTGTTCCACTGCTCTCTCTCATTAATCCACACATCTACCATTCAGAGCTCTTTTTACAGGACCTGCCATCATATTTCCTTTTGTAGTGTCAGAGAGAGAGAAACACACACACAGAATGCAGCTGACTGATTTCAAATGGTTGTTTTACAATGGTCTGACTAGATGGTGAGATGTCAAAGTGCTGCAGAAAAGCTGCGGCATTTAACAGGACTTAAAAACATGCAGGGTGTAGGAATACCCTTTTGAATATTAAATATTCCATGATAATTCCTGTATCACTGAGCATCAGCAACATGTGACCATCTCATATTTTCCACATCTTTTAATAATTAGTTGAGGCTTTGGTTTAGAGACCTCATTCCAATTATTTTTAGGAGCTTCTGTAGCTGGGATGCTTAAAATGAGATATAGGATTAATAGTGTGGGAAGTAGGCAGGTGAGAAGAAAGGAACAGAGAATCATGATGCTATATGCTACCCTCTATTGAATCAGTCGCAGAATGGCATCATCATTGCCCCAGTGAAGACAGCACATCTTACTTTCCCTGAGGGAGTCACATGATTGAGGGTATATGATTGGTTTCCCTTTAACTATCAGCCCAATCAAATAATCTGTAGATAAGAGTCAGAAATAACATAATCCACTAAAGAAACACTCCAAAGGAAAGCTGATGATCTGGAATACTTTACATCCCAAGTGTTTAGTTTTCGCTTCTCTTCCTCAATTTCATGGCACAGTCCTATGCTCCTCAAAGATGTTAAGAGAAGCCTAAAATATTTGGGGAGCTAACATATTCCAGAAGGTAACAGGATGCAACAATGTGTTGACATAGTAGCTCCCTCTACATGTTACATATATTGCATAATTAACTGGTTAATTGTACAATTACCTTTGAGACCAGGTATACCTGCGAAGTAGCTATCCTGGCATGAAAGTTCCAATCAGCTATGAATTAGACCTCAAAAGTGTGTACTAACTTTATAGCTGGTTGCTACTGAGCTTCAATTTTCACATATAACAGGATCCCAACTGCAGTGGTGCACCATGCCTAGCCAGGGCTGCATGTCCCACAGCTGAGGGACTCTCAGCCACAGCAGCTTCTGACTCTGGGTCTTGGCAGCACAGGGACCCAGAGTCCCGCAGCTGTGGATGTTGTATGCTGTGACCCAGATGGGCTGGGTGGATTGCAGCTGCTGTGATCTCCTAGCTTTGGGGGTGCATGAGTGTCCCCCGGCTAAGAGCTCCTCAACTAAGGGGGCATTCAGCTACAGGAGCTTGCTTCTCGCCAGTGCAGGGGAGCCTGGGATTGGGCTCCCCCTGCATTAGCAATAAGGCACAATCAGATCTAATGCACAATCCCACAATCATGCCTCCTGCCTTGCATATGTTTTGTGGCAGGATTTGTGTGGATTGTGCATTACATCCCAGCGTGCCTTTACCCACACATGTAGCAGGGCAATGTTATAAACACTGAAGTACCACAGCACAGTGGCTCTTCCAGAGGATGACATATTAAAATGTTCAATCTTCTCCTTGCCCCTGAAGAAACAAGGGGGCCTATTCTGTGGCATGCAAAGCAGCTCTTAACCTGGCTTACCTAGCTAATTAAACCAGACTTCCATTGTTTGCTTTACTTGTGTGGTATAAATAGGCCAGATTGTATCAGTGAGTCAAGCTTTAAATTTCTTCCAATACTTATTCCATGAGATGCAAAGAAGCATTTTACTCACTTGCTTGTTAATTGGTATTATCCACCTCAGAACAAATAAGAGAGATTTTGTTTAACAATAATGGCAGAAGAGGACCCTATAGTAGACCATGTGAAACACGTATCAATGCCCAATACTACTATTATTGCCACGCTACAAAGTACAGAAAAAAACCACTAAGTTGCAAACACTAGCAATGCTAGCATAGCATAACTCTAACATTTTAGGATTAAAATAGAAATTTAAATGAAAAAATCATTTTCTTTAACAACCATCCCCACACCTCAATTATTTCAGACACCATCTTGTCTGCCTGGTGTATCCTGCTTCCAAGATTCTGCTCTCATTTTTTCAGGAGCATTTTCCCCTCAATTTTAAAGGTTCATTCTCCTTCCTTATTTTCCACTGTTGGCAGATGTGTTATCTGAAGGGACTGTTAGCTCCACCTTGTGATGGTGTTGCATCACCAGCTATGTTTGAAAAAGAATAAGTAAGCTTTTTCTGTTCTTCTTGGCAGGCATGCATGGTTTGGTAATGGAGGAAAACATTATGTTAAATGTACTCTGACAAAAGCCAGCATAAACTGCATGACAATGAAAAACTTCTCAAAGTTTCTGTGCTTTGCACTTGGAATCAAAGATACTTAGGTGTCCTAAGCACACAAGCTGTTGCAAAACATAACAGCAAACAACCTCTGAACACGAGAGCCCATTTATGATCTACCTACTTGGAGAATCACAATTTATCTGCTTCAGAAAATAACCCTTATAGTTGTTACACTGGTGTTTCTACAATAATGGCAATATTTACAAAAGTGTCCTGGAATTTTAAACGCCCAATTTTAGGCACCTTGGATCTGTTTTATGTAATGGATGAGAATGAACATCAGCTGAAATTTTGGGTGAATGGCACCTTTAAAAAACAAGTCTCTGGAAAGAAGTTTACATTGGAAACTCCTAAAACTGCAACATCATAAATCACTGGCCACTTCTGAAAACATTAGCTTAAAGACAAGGACAATTAGCACCTTAGGAGGAAACCACCATTTATAAAAGATCTGGGTGAAATTCTAGGAAATGACTTGATACCAATATTATTATATACTATAGATGAAATGATTCAATTGCAAAATAGATTAGGGTGTAATACTTGCACAAAGTAACTAATGATTGTAGCTTGGGGTGCAGTTCATTGTGTATTGATAGAACTTGGAAAGATTAATCACACCAAGTAACTATATCCATGTACTGCAGTGATATGTGATCCTCCCGTATGGTGGATGAGGATTCATTAGAGGTGACGGGTGTTGCTGCCTGCATTCCTTTTTTCAAACTTCTGTTTGAGCTCTGACACTAGGGCATTGTGGGCACTGCTGTGACCCTTCTTCAATTGCTTGTTTATAAACATGGGAGTCAGGGAACCTGATACTGTCGGCACTTTCCATTCAGTGCTGTTCTTAGGTGCTAGAAGTGGGATTGGCGGTGGGGGTGGGCTTGGGGCACTAGGCAGTAGAGAAGGAATTTGGATGTTATTGTTGCTGTTTTCATTCTTCAGGCTCTTTGTGTCATCTTCAATGGCAAACTTCTCTGCAGCGGTGCTGGGCCTTTTGAATTTCAGCCACTCCATCCTAACTGCCCTAGTCTGCTGCGTCTGTCTCTTTCTTATGATCCGTCTTACCGGCATGATTTTGTTGGACCTCTTATTGCGCCAGAACATGACAGTAGAGATTATGATTGTGATCATCACCATTATGCCCATGACACCAGCTAGCACTCCTAAGGCTTTCATGGGGTTATCTTTAGTTTGCATCAAAAAGGCTGCCATAGGCCCTTTGTGAAGAGTCTGTAAAAGAGTACAAAGAGAACGTGATTTTACTGTATGGGACCAACAGTGAATTTATAATTACATTTGTCCAAAATATGTACCAATAAGGGTTGGCCAACAGAAGCTGACTTTAAAAAATAATTAAATGATTCAATTATTTTATATTTGAATTTGAGTAATTTTGATTTAATACCAACTGTACAGGAAAAAATCCCTGGAATACTGTGTTGTTGTGCTTGGACACTGAAGCATAGAGTTGTTACTGAAATATTTGAGGATATCCCTATATAACACTGTAACATATATTTATTTAGCATAAGCATGAAAAGGATTAACTTTAAGATTTACAGTGGAATTGTTACACTCTATTTTAGAAGCTATTTCCAAAGTATAATGCAGTTGAATTTTGCTGATGGGAAATGATCTTTTGAGAAGAGTTTCAGGTTTACAGATCATTTGAGTTATTGAATATGGCATTACAGATATTTTGAGGCAACTTTAAAAAAAATATTGCCACATGCAAAATAAACATCTAACAAACAGGCCTATGTTATATTTTGTTTTCTAGTACTCTTTTACAGACATAATAAAACTCTTTGAAGTGGGGATCTGAATAGACCAAAAGATCTATTTTTGGGGGGGTTGTTTTTTTTTTTTAAAGATAACATACTCTACATGTAGCATATTAAGGACAAATGAATTAACAGTTCATTTTGCAGCTTAGCATATTGAGCTCCTTGGAGGTCCCCGTATGATTTTTCTGATTTTCCCCTGTGGATGAAGTCTGGATCTTTTAAGATTTTTCCAATATAGGATGGTAGAGATCACCATTGTTACAGAAATGGTGGATAGGACGCCACTCATGAAAATCCCAAATATTGTCCATGGATGCTGCTTGAGGCCTAAAATATAGGATTTTACCCTTGACTCCATCTGGAAATGTCAAAAATAAGAGAACTGGTCAACCTTTATATTCCAAAAAGGCTAGGGTACTATGCAGGCACGTGATAGCACAAACGTGTAAAAGGAGGGACATTTTCATTAGGCATGGGAGATAAAGGAGTATGTCATAAAGTAAAACTAAAACTGGAAACCAGAATGAATAACAAATGAGACATCCTACTGTAGGGGCTAGGTATAAATGACATTATTAATGACATTAGTAATCAAGAAGTAATTAATATTAGTCCCTGCATGCCATGAAAAAAATCTATGGTGAGGTTAGCAACTGAGGAATGCTTATTTATAAGTCTTCTCTCACCTGGATCATGCTCTTTGGGAAAGGCTATCTAAATTAGGTTTTGGAATCACTGTAATAGAGAGTAGTTATTAGAATGAGGCATGCAGGAAAGCGAGGTTGCTCAATGGGGACTCATTTGTTATAAGGCATATTGAAGTGTGGGGATGTTCTCTTCTGTTACCATGGTGTGCTTCCCATTCACACACCCCAAGCATCATTATCCAAGATCGGTATTCTCACAGCCTGAATGTATCCTAGTGGCTGAGAAAATTGGCAAAGGAATGGCATCAACGTGTTGTCATGCCTCCTTCTATAAGGGTCAAAATTCATCACAATAAACAAGCACCACATCCAGTGTTTACATCATTAAAATATAGATGCGTCTGAGCTAGCACCTTAGATATAAACACCCTAAAACTGAAGTTTGGATTGAGGTCTAAACTTTGCTAATCAGGCCCATCTCTGTATTCAATGAGTGCTATGCACTTAACTCCACTCAGAGGAGAAAACTTCTACACCACTTCAGTTACTTAACTTGATGTGAAAGTCTGATGAATTAAATGTCAGATAAAACCTTGGGAAGAAGTACATGTCTTGAAATGAGTCCATTTATTATGAGTGTTTGTCAAAATCTATTTTGTGGCATGGCAATGAAGGCTGGATAGTGTAAGACCAACAAAAGGTTGGAAAAATTACATATATTTCAGAGAGTGCTATATAACAGTAAGTAATTATTTGACTAGCTACACTATATGAAAGTCATGAATAAATAGGATCAGACACCACCAGGCTCTTTCTGTTTTGTCAGAGAAGAGATGTTTCAATGGAGTGCAACTTGAAGGTGTAATAGCAGTACAACCCTGGGTTCAGATTGGCAGCATCACCACTTTGCTTCTTTAAACCCTCTCCTAGCTCACTGACCTGTGGGCTTGTTCCAAGCATTTAGAGGCAGTTGCTTTATGCCAAAACTAATAACTTCAGTGTCTTAATCAGAATCAGCCTATACTGGAAAATATTTTATTTACCAGGTATTTGTTAGAAATGTTATATGGCTTAAATTTGTATATGCATTATCAGAATATGATTTTTTTCTAATTATTCAAAAAGAATATGCATTTTGTCACCTTCTGTAGGGAAAAATGCACCTTTTGTAAATGAGATGACATTCATAAAATCCACTGCAATGGAACCATCTCAGATGATTTGTGTGCTCAGTGTTGTGTGCTTTTGTTGTACTACTTACGTCAGGGGCATCAAACTTATATCCTCTCAGGCTGGACCCAGCACTGAGTGCCCTGCATGCAGCACAGGGGGTCAGTCTGGGGGGTGTGCTGTATGCAGCATCCTGCTGGACCAGCCCTGCATGCTGGTTCTGGGACTGGTCCTGACTGGACATTGCTGAAGCCAAGATTCAGGGTTGTTCTGGCAGGGCTTGCTGTGCCTGTGGTACATGGGGTTGGCATGGAGTATTCACTCCCTATGGCTGGTGGGCTGGACCTGACCACTGCATATGGCAGAGGGGTCCTGGGGCACAGGTTCCATGTAGTGCCCCAAACTGACTCCCAGACTGTTACCTTCAATGCTGGGTCCAGCCCATTCAATGAGGGCCAAGCATGTCCTGTGCTGGTCTTACATACTGTGTGTGCAGCAAACTCTGGGGCCTGCATGTGCAGACTGCAACATACAGGCTTGACCTGGTGCTGTGGGTGCTGCACAGAGAGTTGGTCTCTGGCCAACAGACAGGCCCAGCAATCATCATTCATGGAGCCAGATTGGGTTACTATTTATTCCATCCAGGAAAAGCACACACAACACTGAGCTGAGATGCTTCCTCAGCCTGAAGAAGGTTTTTTTGCTAAGATATATCTCTCCAACTATTCAGTTGGTCAAACAAAAGATATTAGAGGTACCCTCAGCTGATTCATGCTGGGGCCGGGACCCAATCTGGCTCCACGGATGATGACTGCTGGGACTGTCTGTTGGCCAGACAGAGACCAACGCTCTATGCAGCACCCGCAGCCCCAGCTCTGAGAGCGGGGCATTAAATGGTTTAAAAAAAAATAATAAAAGGAAATAGGTGTGGATGGAGTGAGGAGGGTGGCACACACTCTGTCTGCATGTGGAGCTTGGGGAAGCCCAGCAGCAGGAGATTCACCTTGAGGAACACCAGCTTCTCCATCAAAGCAGGATCCAAGGAGGTGCGGTGGGGTGTCACAACATCCCCAGCAATGCTGAATACCCTCTTACTTGGAACACTGGTCGGTGGACAGGGCAGGTGTTCCTGGGCAACTGTGGCCAGATCCTGCCATATCTGGCTGTGGCTTGCTCAGTAGGCCAAGGGGTCACAGAGCAGCGGCTCCACGTCTTCAGTGAGATAGGTTGCCACCGAGGCCTCGATGCTACCTGCCTGATGCTGGGATCTGGTGCCTCTGGACCCCAACATGGAAGCCATGCCCTTGGCCCACACTGGCAGCATGTGTGGTGGAGGAATGGCTGGTGGATGGAGTGATGGCACAGGACAATGGTTCTTCCTCTTCCATGTCCCACTGCCTCTGCCCTTCTGCCTCCCTGACTGTTCACCAGCACCTCCGTACAGTGACCCAGTGTTTTGCTGGCGCACACACTTCCCTTTACCCTCGGGTTGCACATGGTCTCCAGCACATGGACCATACTGGGCCACAACAAATCCAGCCATTTCTTGATGCCCTTCTTCAGCTGCTTCACCAGTGCCTGCACCTCTGGTGAAAGCAGCTTGCCCCAGCCAGGATCATCGATTCCCTGGAATTTCTCCATTTGGTTCTGAAGCTCCCTCACTATGGGGATCACCTGGATAAGGAGGGCATTGCCAGTGCTGAGGCTCTTGGTGGCTTTGAGGAATGGCTTGAGGACCACCAAAATCTGGGAGATGATATCCCACTCAACTCTGTTAAGGGGCTGCTGATCCCAATCTCTCCAAGCAAGGCCAATGCATGGATGGCCTTCTTTTGCTCATCCAGTGTTTTGAGCATCCGGTATGAGGAGTTCTACTGAGTCTCCACATCCTGCATGATTTTGTGCTGCGGGATGCTCAGCTCTGCCTGTTTCTCCTGCAGCATCTTGCTGTACTTGATGCTGCAGTGGAAGTAGCCCATCACCTTCCTGCATTTTGAAATGAGCTTGGTGGTTGTGATGGCACCCTCACCAGGAGCTCTGTCTCCCTCCAAGGCATCCCTAACTATGAGGTAGAACTTGTGTGCTACACAGTGGATGCCAACAAAGTTGGCATCATGGACTGCCTTGACCATATCCGCCCTGTTGTTTGTGACCATGAATCTGTGGGTGAGCTCACCCTGCCCAATAAGCCATCCCTGCCCCATGCGGTTCATGGCCCCCATGATCTCCATCGTCATGCAGGACTCATCCATCACCTCAGCCTGAAGGAGAGCCCACTGACAGTCTAACTGATGGCACCAGTGCCCTGTGAGGGAGAGGTAGGCATGATCTCCACCCCAGCTGCTCCAGATGTCCGAGGTGAAGTGTAAGGCCACCTGTGGACCTGTCTTGCACAGCTCTTCCCTCAAGTATTGCCTGCATGCCTCAAAGAGGGAGGGCACCACCGTCCTGCTGAAGGTGATGTGTGTGGGCATGTGGTATGATGGGGCATGAGCGCCATGAGCCAACTGAACCCTGGCCCCCTAACAAAGGAGAAGGGCTGGCCATCCAAAGCTAGCATCTCCCCAATGCTCTGGGTGACCTGGCTCACCTTTGGAATGTGCCCCATTCCAGGTGAGGAGGAGCA